CCAGTGTCTCACTACCCAGTGTCTCATTACCCAGTGTCTCACTACCAGTGTCTCTGTACCAGTGTCTCACTACCCAGTGTCTCACTACCCAGTGTCTCATTACCCAGTGTCTCTGTACCAGTGTCTCACTACCCAGTGTCTCATTACCCAGTGTCTCATTACCCAGTGTCTCATTACCCAGTGTCTCTGTACCAGTGTCTCACTACCCAGTGTCTCATTACCCAGTGTCTCACTACCAGTGTCTCACTACCCAGTGTCTCACTACCCAGTGTCTCTGTACCAGTGTCTCACCACCAGTGTCTCACCAGCAGTGTCTCACACCCCAGTGTCTCACTACCCAGTGTCTCACTACCCAGTGTCTCACTACCCAGTGTCTCACTACCCAGTGTCTCTGTACCAGTGTCTCACCACCAGTGTCTCACCACCAGTGTCTCACCAGCAGTGTCTCACACCCCAGTGTCTCACTACCCAGTGTCTCACTACCCAGTGTCTCTGTACTAGTGTCTCACTACCCAGTGTCTCACCACCAAGTGTCTCATTACCCAGTGTATCTGTACCAGTGTCTCACTACGCAGTGTCTCACTACCCAGTGTCTCACTAGCCAGTCTTGCTATCAGTGTCTCACTACCCAGTGTCTCACTACCCAGTTTTTCACTAGCAGTGTCTCACTATCCAGTCTCACTACCCAGTGTCTCTGTTCCAGTGTCTCACTACCCAGTTTTTCACTACCAGTGTCTCACTACCCAGTGTCTCACTAGCAGTGTCTCACTACCCAGTGTCTCACTAGTGATAATGTTGGACTGTACTTCAGTGTGCTCTGATGTTATGGGTCTAATCGCCGTCCTGTGTTGGATGGGGGAGGGGGGGAGCTTCATGCAGCAGCGGTATGAACATGGCTGGTGATGTAAATTCATTTGGCTGATTGCCCTGTCCCGGTGACGTCAAACATAAACTCGCTCAAAAGCTGGAGACGCGGCTTTTTGACGTCATGTCACCGCGCTGTGTCGTGACGTCACCGTCAGAACATCCGGGAAACGCTTTATTTTTTAATCGGAATCTTTATTTTTTTAGACTGCGGTCGGCGGAGGAATTCGATGAACTATGAAGCTCTTTTTGTTGTTGCCACAGATGTCCGGTCAGGGGTCACGGGGTCAAGCGATTCGGCAATGGGCGGATCGTGGGCGCACGCCGGATTTGGCGTCATGTTGGCCTGGGTCGCAATGACGTCATGTTGTCCTAGGTAGCATTGGCGTCATGTTCTGGGTCGCGATGGCGTCACGTCACTGGGATGTCGGAGCCGAGTTGGGGGGGCGGTGACGAGGGGCTGGAGTCGCCTGCGGAGGTGAGGAGGAGGTGAGGATGGCGGCGATGGTGAGGATGGTGGTGATGGTGAGGATGGCGGTGATGGTGAGGATGGCGGCGATGGTGAGGATGGTGACGATGGTGAGGATGGTGGCGATGGTGAGGATGGTGATGGTGACGATCCTGAGGATGATGGTGGTGATGGCGAGGATGGTGACGATGGTGAGGATGATGGTGGCGAGGATGGTGGCGACGGTGGTGGTTCGTTGTTGATTTATTTTGCTATAGCCCTGTGAGCCATTCGTCTCTTGAATCGGGTGCAACCACAACAAACAAACAAGCAAAAAAAACAGGAAAGCATCTGAAAGTGACCATGTGACCGTGCTCGGATGGATGACCGCCGTGCATGACGGGCGTTCGCGACGACATTCCGCGGAGCCACGTGGTGTGATGGCAGAGGCCGTTGGGGCCAAAGCACATTGTTGTACTGCACACGATAGGACTTCTATGGTCCCACGCCTTCACAAACCCACCCCCGGCCGGCGTGGTGAAGCATGTTCAATATAACGCCCCGATCGTCAAGTGGATTCGCATTGACGTTGCTTTGATTTAAAGCTTTCGTGACTGCGGGGATTCGTATTCTTTGGTGCTTTCGGTAAAGTCACCACCACCACCACGTAGAAGGGAAACAATAAAATAATTAAAAATATATGTTTTATATATATTTTATTGTTTCCCTTTCTACGTGACTTTACCGAAAGAACCAATAACGGAAACAATAAAATAATAAAAATATGTTTTATATATTTGTATTATTTTATTGTTTCCCATTCTACGTGACTTTACCGAAAGAACCAATAACGGAAACAATAAAATAATAAAAATATGTTTTATATATTTGTATTATTTTATTGTTTCCCTTCCTACGTGACTTTACCGAAAGAACCAAGAATATTGATGTTGTTACGTGTCCAGAGCGCGCGTGGCCCAGATCTTGTCGACTGGACCGTGTGCGCGTGGAACTGAAAGAGCTTTTGGAGCTCAAATCATTCCCTCCAGCAGAAAATAAAAATTCCGATGCCGTTTGTTTGCTGGTCGATCTGGAGTTTGGGAGCACTTCGGGCCCTCTGCTCAGACACGGCTCTGAAAAACAATGAATGAGCGAAAGCCTATGTGTTAAACTGAAAAACAATGTGAATGTAACAATGTGAATGCATGATGAGGATGGTGAGGATGTGATGGTGAGTATGGAGGTGATGGTGAGGATGGGGATGGTGACGATGGTGATGGTGACGATGGTGATGGTGAGTATGGTGATGGTGAGTATGGTGGTGATGGTAGTGATGGTGACGATGGTGAGGATGGTGATGGTGAGTATGGTGGTGATGGTGAGGATGGTGGTGATGGTGAGGATGGTGATGGTGAGGATGGTGGTGATGGTGGTGATGGTGAGGATGGTGATGATGGTGAGGATGGTGGTGGTGGTGAGGATGGTGAGGATGATGGTGAGGATGGTGGTAGTGATGGTATTTGTGGTGAGGAAGGTGATGGTGGTGGTGATGATGGTGAGGATGGTAGTAGTGATGGTATTTGTGGTGAGGATGATGGTGAGGATGGTGATGGTAGTGGTGGTGGTGGTAGTGAGAATGATGGTGATAGGATGGTGAGGATAGTGGTGGTGGTAGTGAGAATGATGGTGGTGTGGTGAGGATGGTGATGATGGTGAGGATGATGATGGTGATGATGGTGAGGATGGTGAGGATGATGATGATGAGGATGGTGGTGAGGATGATGATGGTGTTGATGATGATGGTGAGGATGATGATGATGGTGAGGATGGTGGTGGTGGTGGTGAGGATGGGAATGGTGGGATGCTGTTGATGGTATTTGTGGTGAGGATGGTGATGGTATTGGTGGTGGTGGTAGTGAGAATGATGGTGATCGAGAGGATGGTGGTGTTGGTGGTGAGGATGATGGTGAGGATGGTGGTGATGGTGGTGATGATGGTGAGGATGGTGAGGATGGTGGTAGTGATGGTATTTGTGGTGAGGATGGTGATGGTATTGTGGTGGTGGTAGTGAGAATCATGGTGATAGTGAGGATGGTGGTGTGGTGAGGATGGTGAGGATGATGGTGAGGATGATGGTGTTGATGATGATAAACTCTTCCCTTTCAGATGCACGTGGCGACCTCTTTGCCGACATCTTGAAAGGCCCCCCCTATGGAGTTCTCAGTGAAAAGAATCAAACCGGAGTTCTGTCATCTGGCCCTTCTTCATCCTCACCAGATATCTCAATAGCGTCAGGAGACCTTTCATCAATCGACTGGCAAGTCTTTACAGCCCTTGGATCCAACCACCTACCTATTGTGTTGACAGAATAACAACAACATCCAGAAAAACGCATGTCAGAATATCTACAAAATCCAGAAAAACGCATATCAAAAATGTTATAAATTGATTTGCATTTTAATGAGGGAAATAAGTATTTGACCCCCTCTCAATCAGAAAATCTTCTGGCTCCTAGGTGTCTTTTATACAGGTAACGAGCTGAGATTAGGAGCACACTCTTAAAAATAAAATAAATCACGACGTTTCGGGCGCAACACGAGCGTCCGTCGTCAAGTGGGAAAGCGTGGCCTGCTGCTGGGGCAGACTTTTAAAAGGGTTGAAATGGGTGTAGCCCAAGGGTCATAGAGAAGTGGCCGGGGCTAGTGATGTTAATGTGAGAAATTAGAGGGCACGGAAGTGGCTATGTTAATGTGAGGGATTAGCAGGATGTTAATCTGAGAGATTAGCATGTAACTGTAGAAAAGGAGAGCGGCCTCCTCGACGAGGGAGTGCAACCCAACGGGTGTAATCCAAAGGGCCTGTGAGTATGAGAGTGTAATCCAAAAGACGTGAGCATTAGAGTGCAATCCAAAGGCATGAGAGTGCAATGCAGCGGACATGTGAGCATGAGAGATCTAAGAGAGATGCATAGAGAGAGAGGGATACAGAGTCGAAATAACAGCTGACATAGGCAGGTTGCATGGACACATCACAGTCAGTGAAGACTTTACCTGGTTAATAACGTCCTTCCAATGATTGCTCAGTTTGTACCCATCCTCTCGGTTGAAGTTGTGTTGTCTGTGTTTATATATCTGGATGGCTTCATGAACAAATCTCTGACGGTAGCCGGTAGGTTTGCAGAGTATCTCCTTCTTGGAAAAATCTATTTCGTGTGAACCCACAGCGTTAAAACAATGATCGGCAACTCCAGCCGCTGGTACCGGTCATCGGCAAGTCCACTCATCGCCACATCCTCCTGTACCACATCACTCCATCTCTTTTCTAGCCAGTGCCGCGCCCATTTAGACGCCTCTAACCGGCCGAACAAAAGCTGTTTAGGCATGCGGTGGCTGGGCATGCGGTGCTACATGACCCAACTATACACTATACGCTACGTACGGTGATAAATAAGTTCAACGTACACACGTCGACACGTGCGTGCTTGTACCCCACCCCCCCAGTTGCAGGGCGCGATGTCGGACGAGGGGAAGCTGCTGCAGTGCCCGCTGTGCAAGTGGGTGCTCATCAGCCACGCGGCGCTGCAGGACCACATGAAGCAGCACGGGCGGCAGATCGGGGTGGAGTACTTCCAGTGCGGGTGGTGCTCCTACAGCACCTACTGCCGGCGCACGCTCAGCATCCACGAGAGGATCCACACGGGCGAGAAGCCCTACAAGTGCGCTACGTGCGGCAAGGCCTTCACCGAGATGGGACCGCTCAATAAGCACAAGCGGACGCACACCTCCGAGAAGCCCAACAAGTGCGCTACGTGCGGCAAGGTTTTCGTGAACTTGGGCACCCTCAGATCGCACGAGAAGTCGCACACCTCCGAGAAGACCTACAAGTGCCCCGTGTGCACCAAGGTGTTCGCCACCCTGCAGAACGTTCAGAGCCACCGGGCGGTGCACAACGGCAAGAAGCCGTTCGAGTGCGACGCGTGCGGCAAGGTGTTCGCCAACCTGCGGTTCCTTGAGTGCCACGAGATGACGCACGCCGACGAGCGGCCGTACGTGTGCACGGTGTGCGACAAGGTGTTCACGCACGCCAAGGACCTGTGCAGCCACCAGAGGGTTCACCTTTGTAAGAAGAAAGGCTACAAGTGCAAGCGATGCGAGAGGTCGTACACCAGGCTGGGCGCCCTCCGTACCCACGAGAAGACGCACACCAACGACGCGCCGCACGTGTGCTCCGAGTGCGGCGAGGTGTTCACTGAGCTGGACAGCCTGCGTCGGCATGAGAGGATTCACACGGAGCTGGACAGTCTGCGTCAGCACGAGAGATCCCACGAGGAGCAGAAACCACTGCTGTGTTCAGAGTGCGGTGAGGCGTTCACGGAGCTGGACAGTCTGCGTCAGCACGAGAGGTCTCACGAGGAACAGAAGCCACTGCTGTGTTCAGAGTGCGGCGAGGCGTTCACTGAGCTGGACAGCCTGCGTCAGCACGAGAGGACTCACGAGGAACAGAAGCCACTGCTGTGCTCAGAGTGTGGCGAGGCGTTCACGGAGCTGGACAGCCTGCGTCGGCATGAGAGGATTCACACGGAGCTGGACAGTCTGCGTCAGCACGAGAGATCCCACGAGGAGCAGAAACCACTGCTGTGTTCAGAGTGCGGTGAGGCGTTCACGGAGCTGGACAGTCTGCGTCAGCACGAGAGGTCTCACGAGGAACAGAAGCCACTGCTGTGTTCAGAGTGCGGCGAGGCGTTCACTGAGCTGGACAGCCTGCATCAGCACGAGAGGACTCACGAGGAACAGAAGCCACTGCTGTGCTCAGAGTGTGGCGAGGCGTTCACGGAGCTGGACAGCCTGCGTCAGCACGAGAGGACTCACAAGGACCAGAAGCCACTGCTGTGTTCAGAGTGCGGTGAGGCGTTCACGGAGCTGGACAGCCTGCGTCAGCACGAGAGGTCTCACAAGGACCAGAAGCCACTGCTGTGTTCAGAGTGCGGTGAGGCGTTCACGGAGCTGGACAGCCTGCGTCAGCACGAGAGGACTCACAAGGACCAGAAGCCACTGCTGTGTTCAGAGTGCGGTGAGGCGTTCACGGAACTGGACAGCCTGCGTCAGCACGAGAGGTCTCACACGAGGATGGTGATGATGGTGAGGATGGTGGTGGTTAGGATGGTGGTGGTGATGATGGTGAGGATGGTGGTGGTGATGGTATTTGTGGTGAGGATGATGGTGAGGATGGTGATGGTATTGGTGGTGGTAGTGAGAATGATGGTGAAGATGATGGTGAGGATGGTGGTATGGTGAGGATGGTGGTGGTGGTGTTGGTGATGATGGTGAGGATGATGATGGTGAGGATGATGGTGAGGATGGTAGTGTGATGAGGATGGTGGTGGTGAGGATGATGGTGAGGATGGTGATGATGATGGTGAGGATGGTGATGATGATGGTGAGGATGATGGTGAGGATTGTGTTGATGGTGAGGATGGTGATGGTGAGGATGGTGATGGTGAGGATGGTGGTGATGATGGTGGTAGTGAGAATGATGGTTATAGTGAGGATGGTGATGATGGTGATGATGGTGAGGATGGTGGTGGTAAGGATGATGGTGAAGATGGTGATGGTGAGGATGGTGATGGTTAAGATGGTGATGATGGTGTTGATGATGATGATGAGGATGGTGAGGATGGTGGTGGTGGTGTCGGTGAGGATGGTGATGGTGAGGAGGATAATGGTTTTGCCGATGATAACTCTTCCCTTTCAGATGCATGTGGCAACCTCTTTGCCGACATCTTGAACGGCTCCCCCTATGGGGTACTCAATGAAAAGAATCAAACCGGAGTTCCGTCATCTGGCCCTTCTTCATCCTCACCAGATCTCAATAGCGTCAGGAAACCTCCTTTCATCAATCGACTGGCGAGTCATTACGGCCCTTGGATCCGACCACCTACCTATCGTGTTGACCCTCGATGCCACCAAGCCTTCACAAACTCCTAAAAACCGCTCGTTTTACAACTTTCAAAAAGCTAACTGGCCACTTTTTACTTCAGAATCAGAAGCATTATTCGCCGACAACATCAACCATATCCACACATCCGAAAAGATTTTCAGAAACATCATCGCAACTCCCACTAAGCGCCCCGTCCCGGCGGGTTGCTGCAAGCAACACCTGTGCCTCTCTAAAGAAGCCTCGACGCTAATAAACCAACGAAACACTATTAGGACTAAAAATCCTACATCACCACCACTCACTCCCAGCCTTCAATATTGAAATCACAAAGCTAATCAATCGAGCCAAAACAGAACGCTGGCACGAGTTTGTTGAATCTTTTGACCACCGCAAAAACTCAACAAAACTTTGGAAGACCATCAAACCCTGAGATGGACACTCCAAATCGCCACCCAATTGTGCAATCACTTTCAAAAACAAATCCATCAAACAACAATAACATCGCCAACCACTTCAACAAACTTTTCTCATCAGTCGTCCCACACTCTTCTAATAAATCCAGCCGTCATAAAATCTGTCAAACCAAGGAACTTCAATCTTGATTTGAAGCTTTCGTGACTGCAGGAATCCATACTCTTTGGTTCTTTCGGTGAAGTCACGTACAGTGAGGGAAAAAAGTATTTGATCCCCTGCTGATTTTGTACGTTTGCCCACTGACAAAGAAATGATCAGTCTATAATTTTAATGGTAGGTTTATTTGAACAGTGAGAGACAGAATAACAACAACAAAATCCAGAAAAACGCATGTCAAAAATGTTATAAATTGAGTTGCATTTTAATGAGGGAAATAAGTATTTGACCCCCTCTCAATCAGAAAGATTTCTGGCTCTCAGGTGTCTTTTATACAGGTAACGAGCTGAGATTAGGAGCACACTCTTAAAGGGAGTGCTCCTAATCTCAGCTTGTTACCTGTATAAAAGACACCTGTCCACAGAAGCAATCAATCAATCAGATTCCAAACTCTCCACCATGGCCAAGACCAAAGAGCTCCCCAAGAATGTCAGGGACAAGATTGTAGAGCTACACTAGGCTGGAATGGGCTACAAGACCATTGCCAAGCAGCTTGGTGAGAAGGTGACAACAGTTGGTGCGATTATTCGCAAATGGGAAAAACACAAAAGAACTGCCAATCTCCCTCGGCCTGGGGCTCCATGCAAGATCTCACCAGAGCTACACGGGAGTATCTTGTCAATGATCTCAAGGCAGCTGGGACCATAGTCACCAAGAAAACAATTGGTAACACACTACGCCGTGAAGGACTAAAATCCTGCAGCGCCCGCAAGGTCCCCCTGCTCAAGAAAGCACATACTGTAGGTATAAAATAAAATAAATCACGACGTTTCGGGCGCAACACAAGCGTCCGTCGTCAGGTGGGAAAGCGTGGCCTGCTGCTGGGACAGGCTGTTTTAAAAGGTTTGAAATGGGTGCAGCTCAAGTGTCATAGAGAAGTGTCCGGGGGCTGTTGATGTTAATGTGAGAAATTAGAGGGCACGGAAGTGGCTATGTTAATGTGAGAGATTAGCATAATGTTAATGTGAGATGTTAGCATGATGTTAATGTGAGACAGCATGATGTTAATGTGAGAAATTAGAGGGCATGGAAGTGGCTATGTTAATGTGAGGGATTAGCATGTTAATGTGAGAGATTGGCATGATGTTAATGTGAGAGATTAGCATGTAACTGTAGAAAAGGAGAGCTGCCTCCTCGACGAGGGAGTGCAACTCAACGGGTGTAATCCAAAGGGCCTGTGAGTATGAGAGTGTAATCCGAAAGACATGTGGGCATGAGAGTGCAATCCAAAGGCATGAGAGTGCAATGCAACGGACATTTGAACATGAGAGATCTAAGAGAGAGGCATAGAGATACAGAGAGTCGAAATAACAGCTGCCATAGGCAAGTTGCATGGACACATCACAGTCAGTGAAGACTTTACCTGGTTAATAACGTCCTTCCAATGATTGCTCAGTTTGTACCCATCCTCTCGGTTGAAGTTGTGTTGTCTGTGTTTATATATCTGGATGGCTTCATGAACAAATGTCTGACGGTAGCCGGTAGGTTTAAAGAGTACCTCCGTCTTGGAAAAATTAATTTCGTGTGAGCCCACAGCGTAAAAACAATGATCGGCAACGGCACCGCTGGTACCGGTCATCGGCAAGTCCACTCAGCTCCACATCCTCCTGTACCACATCACTCCATCTCTTCGTTAGCCAGTGCCGCACCCATTTAGACGCCTCTAACCGGCCGAACAAAAGCTGTTTAGGCATGCGGTGGCTGGGCATGCGGGCTACATTACCCAACTATACACTATACGCTACGTACGGTGATAAATAAGTTCAACGTACACACGTCGACACGTGCGTGCTTGTACCCCACCCCCCCACTTGCAGGGCGCGATGTCGGACGAGGGGAAGCTGCTGCAGTGCCCGCTGTGCAAGTGGGTGCTCATCAGCCACGCAGCGCTGCAGGACCACATGAAGCAACACGGGCGGCAGATCGGGGTGGAGTACTTCCAGTGCGGGTGGTGCTCCTACAGCACCTACTGCCGGCGCACGCTCAGCATCCACGAGAGGATTCACACGGGCGAGAAGCCCTACAAGTGCTCTACGTGCGGCAATGTTTTCGCGCACTTTGGCAAGCTCAGAAGGCACGAGAAGTCGCACACCTCCGAGAAGCCCAACAAGTGCGCTACGTGCGGCAAGGTTTTCGCGCACTTGGGCACCCTCAGATCGCACGAGAAGTCGCACACCTCCGAGAAGACCTACAAGTGCCCCGTGTGCACCAAGGTGTTCGCCACCCTGCAGAGCGTTCAGAGCCACCGGGCGGTGCACAACGGCAAGAAGCCATTCGAGTGCGGCGCGTGCGGCAAGGTCTTCGCCAACCTGCGGTTCCTTGAGTGCCACGAGATGACGCACGCCGACGAGCGGCCGTACGTGTGCACGGTGTGTGACAAGGTGTTCACGCACGCCAAGGACCTGTGCAGCCACCAGAGGGTTCACCTTTGTAAGAAGAAAGACTACAAGTGCAAGCGATGCGAGAGGTCGTACACCAGGCTGGGCGCCCTCCATACCCACGAGAAGACGCACACCAACGACGCGCCGCACGTGTGCTCCGAGTGCGGCGAGGTGTTCACGGAGCTGGACAGCCTGCGTCAGCACGAGAGGACTCACGAGGAACAGAAGCCACTGCTGTTTTCAGAGTGTGGCGAGGAGTTCACGGAGCTGGACAGCCTGCGTCGGCACGAGAGGTCTCACGAGGAACAGAAGCCACTGCTGTGTTCAGAGTGTGGCGAGGCGTTCACGGAACTGGACAGTCTGCATCAGCACGAGATATCCCACAAGGAGCAGAAACCACTGCTGTGTTCAGAGTGCGGTGAGGCGTTCACGGAGCTGGACAGCCTGCGTCGGCACGAGAGGTCTCACAAGGAGCGGAAGCCACTGCTGTGTTTAGAGTGCGGTGAGGCGTTCACGGAGCTGGACAGCCTGCGTCAGCACGAGAGGTCTCACAAGGAGCGGAAGGCAACGTCATCAAACATTAGGCAGCAGCAGGAGGACAGTGACATGGGTACAAATCCACGTGGTCTGGAAATTTGCTAGATGCTCCTCACGCGTGGTGTGAGATGAGGAGTGGGGATTATGGTCAAATGATACATCTCTGGAATCACCAGAGGACACTCGTGGGGAAATTAACTTCTAAGATTTTCTCCAAACATGTATCTGCCGTAACTCACAGACGCGACGCGACGTGTGTGCGTGTGTGTGCATGTGTGTGCATGTGTGTGCGTGTGTGTGCGTGAGATAGAAAACACATTCGGATTCAGAATCTTTATTTATCCTGGAGAAATCTGATGAGTTATGACGCTCTTTTTCACAGATGTGCAATAGGGGCAGGTCAGAAAGTTGCAACAACAAACACGATAGGAGTGCAATGTATTGGAAAGGTAAGCAAGTTACTAAAATAAATTAAATAGATAAAGTATCAGAATCAGAATCAGTTCTAATTGCATAAGTACACCAATTTCCCAAGCTTGGGCAAGGCAGCAGAACAGCATCAAAAACAGTCCCAGACCACACCAAGACAACACACAGTCCCTCAATAAAATGGCGCATTAAAAGTGAACTATTGATGTATGTATGTTGAACTTCTTTCGCACCGTGCACAGCCCACCCTGATAATCGGACGTACGGGTAAAGGTGAAAGTTACAAGTCACATTTGCAAATGCAGTTTTATGCAGCGCTAATCCCCGTCTTGAGGATATGTTTTGAAAGAAGATTTGATGCTCCACTCGTCAAACACTGGAGGATCCTCTGTGGCAAGAAGTCAGAATCTTTATTTATCCTGGAGAAATCCGATAACCTATGAAACTTTTTTGCACGGATGGAAAGCCGCCCTCTCTGTCTTCAAGACATGGCCAGAGCGCCACACTCCAGCAAGAACCACGTCTGGCAGCTCCCCGGGGGGGGGGGGAGGGGAGACACACGGCCCCGTCGACTTACACCTGAGATTGTGTCCTCTTGAAACCATGCCCGGTGGTTCATCGACAGCCCTTCACGGTGAATCCATCTCATCATCATCATTAGACTTCCTTTGCCAGTACCAAATGTAATCATAGGGTTTTTCCCCTTTTTTCTGGCAACAAAACTGAAATCTTTTTTACGAGGCTTCATGTCTGCATTAACCACAATACCTGCAGTCAAAATGCAAACAAAAAAACATACTATGATAATATATGCATTGTCCTTGAAACTGATTGGTCCACACCAAGGGACGGCTTTCTTTTGAGCCTCAACCCATATGGTGCTCGACCAGATGACGCCAAAAGGCGTGAATCCATGTTCAGATGTTCACCGGGGGGGGGGGGGGGGGGGGGGGTGAGCGGTAAGCCGGGGCCACTTGAGAGTTGATGAGATATTAACTCCCTCGCCTATTATGCAGGAGATCGTGGGTCTGATCCCGACCCCGACGCCTGTTGTATATTTGGAGTTTGCATGCCTCCCTCTCTCTCCCCATGGTTGCGTGGATTTTTCTCCGGGTCCTCTGGGTTTTCCCTCCACATTTAGAACACTATTTAACACAATGTTTGTTATTGAGTAGTAAATGTTATTTCGTAATTGCTTATGCCTAAAAGTTTAAAATGTCTGTTTTTCCCCACAAACTTTGCTTTTGTGACCAGGACAGTGATCTTCTGAAAATTACTTATTTTCAATGATAAAACGGGCGAATTTGTGTCTTTTCGTTCACATAAAGTCAGAAAAAAACAACAACATATGAATCAACATTAACATGTATTTATACTAAAGTAATACAAACATGACTACAAATGATTTACAAGTGAGTGCTATTTAGAGATTTACGATTATACTGTAAATCACTTTCACGAATCAGCCCCCAAATGTAGTCTCCCATCATGTTCTCGTTATACTGTCCTTAGTAGCGGCATTCAAAGTCCAGTATATCCTGGTGGAAGCACTCGCCTTGCTCCTCCGAGCACACGCCCATGTTCTTGAATTTTTCAATATGAGCATCCTACAGCCCATTGTGCCGTAGTTCTTCACCAGAATCTCAACCAGCTCAACGTAGTTTTCGACGATGTGATTGCCCAGGAAGCCACGAACCACTGCGACAAAGCTGTTCCAAGCCGCTTTCTCCTTACTAGTGAGCTTCTTGGGGAATTCCTTGTACTCAAGGATCTTCTTTATCTGTGGTCCGACGAAGACACCGGCTTTGACCTTTGCCTCGGACAGCTTAGGGAAAAAGTCTTGAAGGTACTTGAAGGCTACCGACTCCTTATCTACAGCTCTGACAAATTGTTTCATAAGGCCCAATTTGATGTGCAGTGGTGGCATCGGAACCTTCCGGGGGTCCACCAGTGGTTCCCACTTGACGTTGTTCCTCTCTATCAGAGAACTCAGTTCGCTGTGGCCAGTCCCGCCTGTGGTTCTTGCGCATTGGTGTCTCAATCTTTTGTAGTCATTTTTGTATTACTTTAGTATAAAGACATGTTCATTTTGATTCATGTTGGTTTTTTCTGACTTTATGTGAACGAAAAGACACAAATTCGCCCGTTTTCTCATTGATATTAGGTAGATTTCCAAATATCACTGTCTTGGTCACAAAAGCAAAGTTTGTGGGCAATAATAGCCACTTTCTGTACTTTCGAGTCACAGGTAATTAGGAAATAACACTACCCAGGAACAAAAAAAATGTTACACAGTGGAATCAACATCGCCACGCATTTAGAGGATTTGGCTGCCGCTATCAATTTCCATTCGATAAGCCACTTCGTTAAGCTATCATTTGTGGCCAGGTCTCTTAGTGGGCCTTACCTAGAACCAGGTATGAATACTCATACTCTTTGGGTCTTTCGGTAAAGTCACATAGATCGGTATCAATGTTGAACAAGCCAACCATGCTAATCAGAGGTGGCAGAATGGAAACTTCAGGGTTATCACAGCAGTCTTTTGATAACTGAAGGAAGGCGTCGGGGTCTGGCCGACTGCATCTGACTGCATCTCGTATCTCCAAGAAGCACAGTTGACTTCTTACGGCACGAAAGAAGTTCAACATTCGAGCAGTGCTCAACTTACGAATACAATTACGGTAGTTCGTGAGGCCCGTTCATAAGTGGAACAGTTCATAGGTCAGAACACAATCATGTACTGTCTTTTAAATGTCCATACGAAATGCGTTATGGTTAAACAAAAAATGGAAGCATTGTTATAACTCACAAGAAGAAATATTGTACATTTGCATGAAACACTGTAAACAAAATACTGCATAGTAAATAAAACATAAAATAAAGTATCAAATAGAAACATCCGTTTTATTTTCACCTACCTTGAGTCCTGATGCTGGCTTATTACAGACAAATTCAGACCTTGTTGGTCACCCCCATCGGTGGCAAGATGAGGTTTAAAACAATTAGGTTTGATAAGGTTTAAATTTTAAAAAAAACCTCAATATCACGAAGGGCCAGTTATGGTGAGGTTTTGAGGTTCATTCTAAAAAGACGCCATTTTGGTTTTTGCAGGAATTCTGACTGAAGTAACAGACTGCGGAAGGCCGGAGCCCGGAAATCATAAATCTCGCCATTACCTGAGTTACCAGCGTCATCAAGTGAACCCAAATTCCACCACGAGCAGGATCATGGATCAGGACCTGGATGAGGATTTACTCGATTCCGATGAATGTGATAGTGATGTCGTAATTGTGATGGAGAAGAATGGAGTGGCCGACGCGGAGAAGGATGGAGTGGCCGACGAGGCGTTGGCGAACACAGGGAAGGCCAGAGGACACCCGATGGGCCAGTTTTGGCACTACACCGATGATCCGGAACCTTACAAGTTGAAGAGTGCCATCTGCAAACATTGTTGCACCACATTCAATCATCACAAGAAGAGTTAGCGGGGCGATGAGGCACCTGAATGCATGCGCCGCTTTTCGGAGGGCAATGAATGGCACCGAGATAGGTTATCGTCCCGAGTGGTCTGCGTCGAACAAGAAGCGGGCGAAGCCATCGAAGGCAAGCGACAGCTCAACTCCATCTACATCGAACGCTTCGTCGATGAAGTGAGGATCGATCAAAGATCGGCTAATACCCAAGCTCGATAAGCAAACGAAGGGGAAGTTGGAGCAGGCCATAGCAATGCATTACTTTGTCTCGGGCACGTCGTTCAAGCGGGTCGAGGAAGAGAACCTGGTGATGGCTGTGAAGGCCCTTCGCCCAGATGCAGTGCTGCCGAACAGGAAGTTGCTGGCCGGATCATCGCTCAGCAGGGCGTACATCGACATGAAGAAGAAGGTTGACACCGTCCTGGACAATAGGACCGTTTGCCTGACATCTGATGCGTGGTCAAACATCAAGAATGGTCCAATTGTGGACTACATGGTCACATCGCCGCCCACAATGTTGCTTCTTGAGTCAGTGTCCACTGGGGAGCAGGGCCAGAACACTGACTGGATCGCCTCGGATCTTGAACGTGTGATGGCGTCCCATCCGAAGACTACATTCGCTGGCGCGGTCAGCGACAACACATCCACCAACAGGAATGCGTGGGAACAGCTCTCGAAGGCTGTACGCCGCATGGTCTGCGTTTGCTGGTCAAGGACATATTCTCTGTCACGAAGACGAGGAAAGCCGGCCAATCAGAACACACATACTCGATCGACTATCCATTCCTGTACCTGCTTGAGTTCAGCGTGGGGTGCAAGGACACGGTCAAATTGTTTCACAATACTCACGTTCTCAAGGCAGCTGCAGGCTGAACAGAAGATCGCTGGCGTTCGAGCGTTGGTCCGTCCGGCTCCTACACGTTGAGGAACGATCAAAGGCTGTTGCGAGATGCTGTTGTCGTTGGAGAGGGTTCTGCATTCCATTGTCACAGCTCGCAACTTCATCAAGGGGACGGCAGCTCAGAATGCGAATCAAGACCATCATTACGAGCGACAACTTCGTCTCTCTGTTGCAGAAGTCCCTTGCCATTCTCACGCCCATCGATGCATCGATTGTCAAATATC